CAGGGTCACTTGTTAAGGGGATTATGTGGGTTCTATCTAGGTCAGTCATTGGTTTAGAATAATTATTAATAGCTTCTTCGTAAAATCTGATTTCTCCTCCTTATGGCTGGCAAGTAGTTTGTAGGGTGATACTTTGAAAGCCAGAAATCAAATGGAGTCATTTGGAATGTCATCTCTTTCAAAGATATGGGCTCTGGTGTTTAAATATGAAAAGAACCAGATGTTATTGGAGCTAAGGCACTGATTTGAGGAGATAAATTCATACGATGATGTTAATTTAACAAACAAAATTGAGCAGCTGTCATGTACCAGGCACTGTTCGATGCTATGGAATTATAGCAGTGAACAATGGTGAACAAAACAGTATTTCTAAGTTCATGGAGCTTATATTTTGTTGGAAGGGGCACAGACAAAACAGGTAAAACTGTTTGTTAGATGGTGCTATGAATAAAACTGAAGCTGGGCAAAACTTTATAGTGTAGAGGAAGGAGATGGTACTTTAAATGACATAGGAAGATTTGGGGAAAAAATCTGACTCTAATTCAGAAGATGCGGGTTTGATCCCTGGGTCAGGAAGATCCCTTGGAGAAGGAAATGGCAACCCACTCCAGTATTCTTGTCTGGGAAATCCTGTGGACGGAGGATCGTGGTGGGATACAGTCCATGGGGTCACAAGAGTCAGACACGATGCAGGGATTAAACCAGCACCACCAGAAGGCTTTACTTGTAAGTGATGCTTGGGGAAAAGAGATTGAGAAAGTGAAGTTCCAAATGGAAAGAGGACTAAGTAGCAAAGCCTGGAGGTAGCAAGGGAGTTATCTGGTGAGCCGAGGGAGGCCAAGGGGGTGTGGAGAAAAAAGAGACCAAGTTTGAGAGGCAAATGGAGGTGAGTAGTTTGCTATGGCCTTGGAACCCAACACATCTGACTATTAAAAATACCTCTAATCCTAGCGAGGCATGAGAAAATCCCTGGAAAGTGACACATATGTTGTTTGAACTGGCCATCAAAGGCAGGGAAGACTTAGAGTCACAGGCACTAAGTTGTCCTCAAAACAGTTGAGGGAAAAGAATTGTTTTTTTCAACAGGGGCAGGCCTGTTAGAAGCGGTTTGTATTGTTCACAGTGCCAGACAAGGAATCCTAACTTGGTGTTAAATGCTAGTAGTCTTTCCAGCCCACTGCCTTGTTCAAAGCCTCAGGATTCTGAGATTCTAAAGTGGGCAGACCCGACGGCAACTTCCCAGAACTGCAACTAGCTGCTTTAGCAACAGCTAATATTTTAGAGTTCTCTGTGCCAGCACCACCCTACGGGCTCTTTCAGTGATCACCCCAGCCATATCACATAGTAGTTGTTAATTCTTATTCCCATTTTAGAGGTAAGGAAATGCTCGCAAAGGGTTTAAGTACCATGTCAAAATTTAGCGTTCAAAGAGGCTAAATATGCTGGGGGATTTCCCCTTAAACCATGCTTATCTATTTCTTAAATATACATATTTGCTTTCCAGAATACATTTTTTTAAAAACTGTAATTACAGTTAACCATGTAAAGTGAGAAATGAATGCTTTAATTACATGTAGGCTTTAGGGAATTTCCTTCACAAGCACCATGACAAAATGTAGTAACATTTAATGTTCACAAAAGTCTGTGTAGACATAGGGAGAAAAATTTCCCCCTTCTTTCTGTCCATATTCTTTGGTTGGTCTAATTGATACAAAATATATCAACAGGGGGAAGACAAACTGAAATACCTAATTTGTATTACCTCCTCTGTACACTGGAGATCCCCAGTAAAACTGAGAAGACTACAAAATGGCTGTCACCTTAAAAATACCATCTTCAGATTAAAAAATACATGATGGGAGAGGGTAGTCAATTGTTTTCAGAGGTAACCAGGAAAAGCAATGTAAACATTGGTAAGATTGTTATGCAGATTTAAGTAGTATCCTTTAACATAAGAAAAGATTCTAGACATTTGGACATTTTCTTCCTTGTAAAGCAAGGGAAACATGCTTACAAATGGATTACTTACTTTATAAATGTAAATGTCTTTTAGGAAACACAGTTTTCTACTAAGTATTAAGAGATTTTCCTGCTTCTTAAAAATAGCCAGCTTAGAATAACTGACATCCTTTCTATTAACAGACGTTTACAAACACACGTGGCTAATATGTAGCAAATTAGAACTTTTGCGGTTAGGCTTAGTGTTGCTCAAAATTAGCTTCTCAAAATTAGCTTCTTTGGTATTAGTGGTTGGGGCATAGACATAATTTTTCCTCACACCACAATGGTAAGAAACCTTTACCCTAATGGTTGTATATTACCTTTCTCACTACTTGACCTACCCATTTTAATACAGTCTGGAGAGTTACAGATCCTTTGAGACAACGTGGGTGGCTCTTAAAAGAGCCTTGAATTATTTGCGTTGTTTCAAGTGACGAAATTTACTTGGAGCTGGTGTACTTGGTGACGGCCTTGGTGCCCTCGGACACCGCGTGTTTGGCCAGCTCCCCGGGCAGCAGCAGGCGCACGGCCGTCTGGATCTCCCTGGATGTGATGGTCGAGCGTTTGTTATAATGGGCCAGGCGCGACGCCTCGCCCGCGATGCGCTCGAAGATGTCGTTGACGAAGGAGTTCATGATGCCCATGGCCTTGGACGAGATGCCGGTGTCCGGGTGGACCTGCTTCAGCACCTTGTACACGTACACGGAGTAGCTCTCCTTGCGGCTGCGCTTGCGCTTCTTGCCGTCCTTCTTCTGCGCCTTGGTCACCGCCTTCTTGGAGCCCTTTTTAGGGGCAGGAGCTGACTTGGCTGGCTCAGGCATCGCAAAACGCACACAGGACCAGGAGGCGAACACAAAATACACCCACAAGCAAACGATCTTAGTATTTGTTTGGCCTGTATGCAAATGAGGGATGGCATAATTACAATTTATGATTGGTCTTTTCATCTCATCCTAACCTGTGATAGGCTCTTTATTGCAAACTCTTATTGGTTCTTCCCTTAGTTCACCGTTACATAATTTGACCTTTTCACCACAAAGTCCCTATGTAAATTAGCAGCGGTGTTGTTTCAGATCTGGCTTTTGATTGGCTTAAGTTTGTGTTTGGCCAATCGCATAGGCTGTTTTACCAAACCGCCGGAGAGTATAATTACCTAGCTTCTTGTGGCTCAAGAATCCATTTTTCTGGGTCTCAGCTGGTTTCTGGTGTCTCATTATGTCTGGTCGTGGAAAACAGGGCGGCAAAGCACGCGCTAAGGCGAAAACCCGCTCCTCACGGGCCGGGCTTCAGTTCCCCGTGGGCCGAGTGCATCGGCTGCTCCGCAAGGGGAACTATGCTGAGCGGGTTGGGGCCGGGGCCCCGGTGTACCTGGCGGCGGTGCTGGAGTACCTGACGGCCGAGATCCTGGAGCTGGCGGGTAACGCGGCCCGGGATAACAAGAAGACCCGCATCATCCCGCGCCATCTGCAGTTGGCCATCCGCAACGACGAGGAGCTCAACAAGCTGCTGGGCAAAGTCACCATCGCTCAGGGCGGTGTCCTGCCCAACATCCAGGCGGTGCTGCTGCCTAAGAAAACCGAGAGCCACCACAAGGCTAAGGGCAAGTGAACCTACTTATATCTCAGTTGTGTGTCGCTACAACCTTTTACCCAAAGGCTCTTTTAAGAGCCATCCACATTCTCACATTGAAAAAGAGCTCGTAAACAGTATTCCCGTCTTCGCGTTATAATACTTAGATTAAAGCTATTGGATAGAACCTACGGCATTTTTACCCGAAGTTATCTTTTCTCCTTGACGGGACTGCTCCAAATGTGATTCAGGGAAGTGAGTTTATACAGGAAAGTGGGTAGTTTCAAGAGCAAGGGTAACGTTCACAAAAGCTAGAGTGGCTGTTTTCTAGAGAAAAAGGATACATTTGTATAGTGCCAAAAAATGCGGATAGTGGTCTGGTATGTCGGGCTACGTCTTTTGAAACAGCAAAACGAAAGGAACGCTGGGGTCAGCGCGGGCTTTTCAAATGAATTGCTGTTCACTGGTGCCGAATGGAAACCTGGCGACAGTTAGGGCGAAGTAGAAAATGGTTGCTTTTATTGCTTTGACTCTTCTTTCCCTTGAGATAGAGTAGGAAGAATTTTTTTAAGGAAGAAATTTTATACGGTCTCCGTTCAGTTCAGTCGCACACTCTTTCCCACTTTGCGATCCCATGAACGGCAGCACCCCAGGCCTTGTCTATCACCAACTCCCGGAGCCTACCCAAATTCGTGTCCATTGAGTCGGTGATGTCACCCAACTATCTCATCCTCTGTCGTCCCTTTCTCCTCTTACCCTCAGTCTTTTCCAGTATTAGGGTCTTTAGAGTCAGCTCTTCGCATCAGGTGGCCAAACTATTGGGAGTTTCAGCTTCAGCATCAGTCCTTCCAATGAACACCCAGGACTGATCTTTAGGATGAACTGGTGGGATCTTCAACACCACAGTTCAAAAGCATCAATTCTTCGGCGCTCAGCTTTCTTTATAGTCCAACTCACGTCCATACATGACTACTGGAAAACATACAGTCTAGGAATGGGAAATAGGGCCGTCGGTAAGGATGCAAGTATGTGCTCTTTTTCACTTCAGGGAAATTTCAAAATTAGCAACGCTGGTTAAGTTAGGCCCGGGTGGTTGTCTCTGGTGGTCCTTGAACTTATTCTACCGATACTTTCTGGAATGAAATATGCTCACAAAAGGTGTTTTTTCGGAGAAGTAAACACCAAGTGCATAATACATTTTAACCATAAAGTAATCAAAGTGCGGTTAAGCAAGAAAGAAAACCATCTGTCAGAGTGGGCTCTAAGAATAGAGCCTAAAATGGAGGCTACTAGTTTTTGCTATAACAAACTGAAGCATAAATCCCATTTGGCCACCGCGGGAAAGTAAATGATTTTTTTTTTTTTCTTTGTATTTTTGTTTACCACTCATCTGTGGCCTGTCGCTTTCCCTGTGATTTACTAGTGGAGCTAGGAAGTGACTGTCCAGGGCAATCTAAATTCAGAACTGAAAAATTAACCATTGAGAAGAAAAGAGAATACAAGTAAAAGTGTTTCTAAAGCTTGATGCTCGGAATTTCAGCCCCATTACATAGATCTGAATCAAAACAGGCATCTTTCACGATGTTCAAGTAGTTCCTTATTTACAGTTTGAGAAGCCCTGAATTTAGAACTAGAATATTAGCTCCTTTGGATAGCAGGCTTCAACAAAAAGGAGGATTGAAAAGTGAACGAATTCATCCAATCAGAATCTTTAGAAATTGACCAATCACTTCAGTGACTGTTCAGCCAATGGAGTTGTTTCGCGGGAGTTTTGAACTAGAGTAAGACCAATCAGACTGTTTCTGAGTATATATAAACCCAATCTTTGTNTCTATTGTCCAATCAAAACGCGAGGTTCGCTATATATTTTGGGACGACCAAGTGCTCCCATCAGTGTTAGATAGTTGACACTACTTACCAATGGCGCGGACTAAGCAGACGGCTCGCAAGTCCACCGGCGGCAAGGCGCCGCGCAAGCAGCTGGCCACTAAGGCGGCCCGCAAGAGCGCGCCGGCCACCGGCGGCGTGAAGAAGCCGCACCGCTACCGGCCCGGCACGGTAGCTCTGCGCGAGATCCGCCGTTATCAGAAGTCTACGGAGCTGCTGATCCGCAAGCTGCCGTTCCAGCGGCTGGTGCGCGAGATCGCGCAGGACTTCAAGACCGACCTGCGCTTCCAGAGCTCGGCCGTGATGGCGCTGCAGGAGGCTTGCGAGGCCTACCTGGTGGGGCTCTTCGAGGACACTAACCTGTGTGCCATCCACGCCAAGCGCGTCACTATCATGCCCAAGGACATCCAGCTTGCCCGCCGTATCCGCGGGGAGAGAGCATAAATTTTATGGCTCCTCCAACTAACACATACCTACCCCCAAAGGCTCTTTTAAGAGCCCCTCAACTGTCAGCATAAAGGAGCTGTTCATTGTCGAGTATACATGTTACCAACAAATGAAAAACGCCTTGAATTTTAAGTGAAACGTATTGTGGACACAATACTGTGCCACGTCAATACTATGCATAAATGACTGTATCCTGGGCTCCTAATCAGTTTATTGAACTATTTCTAGGGGAAGCATTTTTTAAAGTGATATTTAATCCTTGGCTAAAGGAATTGACTGAAGTGGCCCATTCCTTGTTAACTGGTGCTTTCTACAGATAGTTCTATAATGACAAATGCAGCGCCTTCCCCCCACCTTTTGCCAAGCAGTATCATACAACTTGACTCCAGATAATGTCTCTCCTGTCTCGCTGTTGCAGGAAGAAATAGTGGTCGAGGTTCAAGCTTCACAGCAGCCAATTGCCCAATTACTCAGCTTCTCTTTGGGAATCACCTAGAACAGTTGTAAAATGTGGCAAATGAATTAGTTCGTAGACCATACTAAGACTAGTTCCTGGCACTAAATGCTCAGTGAATGTTAGCTCCACTATGCCTCTCTTCTGTAAAGCAGACACTCCGGCCCCCCAACCTTCCCAAGTTTTCTGAAAGTTTTCTGATTGAAACAATGGGAAATGCTTGATTGGAACATTTTCTTAAGACCTCCTTTTCTTTAGATCTGGGTTTGCATAATTCTGAAAAAGGCAGACCTGTAGGAATAACATGAACTATCTGAGGAGGAATTCAAGACCGTGAAAGCCATAAAGTAAATATTTTAGGTTTTGCAGGTAACATATAGTCTCTGACACATCTTAAAAATATTCTTAAAAATAGAAAAACTCTTACCTTGGCCATACAAAACTAAGCCCTGTCTAGATTTGGCCACAGTAGGCTGTAGTTTCAACTCCAGGAACCCCTGAAGACATGAAGTGTGTCAGCCTACAGGTTTTCATAAGAAAGAACTGACTGTGGAATGCATAAGAGACCCTAATCATCATTGCATCCATGGACAAAATCCTCTCCAAGCATCCCCCTCTCAATAAATAACAAACATCACCCTCCATTTCACCTCACAGTCACTGCCTCAGGTCCCTTGGATGTTAACGTTTTCCTGAGTTCTCTTAAAATTCTATAACCTCCACTTACTCCCTTACTATCCAATCCACACTTATAGTCAGAGGCCAATTATTTTACTGAAAGATGCAAGTCTATCTCCATTAAATATGCAGAAATATCAACACTGAGGTCCTACAAAAGACGGTGTTCCTGACCATTCAATTTGTTAAATGTTGGTGGAGATGGAGTTTGAGGGAGAGCGGTGGAAAGTGCTGAAGCTCTAAAAGAGGAAAACAGCTTCTGAAAGACGGAAAGAGACCCCTGCCATCTAAACAGCATTTCCAGTGTTGCTGGAAGCCCCTGAATAATTTTTAACACATTTCAGGTGTTTTTCTAAAATTCATCTCTGGGTTAAAAAAATTTCTTATTATTTTAATGGATTTGCTTATAAATTAAAGGGAAAAGGCATCTCATTCAAAAACATACTAAATCTGTTTGAAGATAGGTCATTGGATTCTGAAGCCAAAGCAATTACTATTGCTCATGGAAGAAGTCACTTTGACCACAGAACTAGTCCGAGCCGCGAAATCCCATTCTCTAAAGATATTGGCGCCTGGAAACTCCTTGGAAGGCAAAACCGGTTTTTAAAGTAAAATCTATATGCTTAATTTGTGGCTGTAGGCAACTGGCCGACCTGCACCTGTGTTACTTGCTGCAGTTCGAAGCAAAGTTTAAGCAAAACCAAGGAATCTAGTGTCTTTCCTCTTGCAAAAATAGAAGGCCGAACTTGGCGACAAAGCCTTTTAAAAAACATTCTCTTGATATTTACTAAAACTTTATTGCAATATGCAACTATGTAGCTCGATGCCTTAGGTCCGGTGGATCTATAGGAAAAGCTGAAGGGATTTTTAAAAATATCTTTCATTAACTGCGCGTGATTCATAAAAACACAAACAAGTAAGTGAACTTGGAGGCTGTTTTCCTTCTTTGAAGCTTCAAAGAGTCAAATTCTGTACCACTGTTTTTAACATTTAATCAAATTTTGGGGACTAACAAACACAAGTTTGGGAGTGCAACCACGGCAGGCGGCTTCCTGAGGGTGGTGGATCGGACGCTCCACCAATCACAGGGCAGCACCGACTTATATAAGCCCGGGCCGGCGCAAGACGGCATTGCAAAACTTGCTCTTTGGAATTTGAGTTTCTCTGCTTCTAGCAGGTTCTCCTTTCGCCATGTCGGAAACCGCTCCTGCTGAGACGGCCGTCCCGGCGCCGGTGGAAAAATCTCCTGCCAAGAAGAAAGCAACCAAGAAGGCCGCGAGCGGTGGGGCGGCGAAGCGCAAGGCTACTGGGCCCCCAGTTTCCGAGCTGATCACTAAGGCTGTCGCTGCCTCCAAAGAGCGCAATGGCCTTTCTTTGGCTGCGCTCAAGAAGGCGCTGGCAGCCGGCGGCTACGATGTGGAGAAGAACAATAGCCGCATCAAGCTGGGTCTCAAGAGCCTGGTGAGCAAGGGCACCTTGGTGCAGACGAAGGGCACCGGGGCTTCCGGCTCCTTCAAGCTCAACAAGAAGGCGGCTGCCGGGGAAGCCAAGCCCAAGACGAAGAAGGCGGGGGCTGCTAAAGCCAAGAAACCCGCAGGGGCAACTCCTAAGAAGCCCAAGAAGGCTGCGGGAGCGAAGAAAGCCGTTAAGAAGACGCCTAAGAAGGCGAAAAAGCCCGCTGCCTCTGGCGTCAAAAAAGTGGCCAAGAGCCCCAAGAAGGCCAAAACTGCGGCAAAGCCAAAGAAGGCTGCTAAGAGCCCCGCGAAGCCCAAGGCAGTGAAGCCAAAGGCGGCGAAACCTAAAACCTCCAAGCCTAAGGCAGCAAAACCCAAAGCTGCAAAGGCGAAGAAGGCGGCTCCTAAGAAGAAGTAGGAAGTTGGCGCTTGAGAAGCAAACCCCAAAGGCTCTTTTCAGAGCCACCCAGAGATCTCTGGAAACAGCTGTGCACTGTGATCTGGTCTGTAGCCAAGAAAGCATTCTTTCCCGTAAATATTTTTTCCCAATTTTCTTCGACCCAGTAAAAGTCCATAGGGCTCTCTTTTTAGCAGTCCATGGGGAGGTTACTAAGAGTCGGACACGACGGTGCCTAAGAAAGAAATGGCAACCCAGTACAGTGTTCTTCCCTGGGGAAACCTAGTGATTGCCCAGCAGCAGCACTGACAGAGCTTACTGCTAGAGACACAAGTTAAATGAAGACTACAGTCCCAGCTCCTCAGCAGAAAAAGTAGGTGGCTCTTAAAAGAGCCTTTGGTTTGGAAGGCGTGGCTCTTGATGCCTTACTTGCCCTTGGCCTTGTGGTGGCTCTCGGTCTTCTTGGGCAGCAGCACCGCCTGGATGTTGGGCAGGACACCGCCCTGAGCGATGGTGACTTTGCCCAGCAGCTTGTTGAGCTCCTCGTCGTTGCGGATGACACCCGGACACCGGCATCTCATCCAAGGCCATGGGCATCATGAATTCCTTCGTCAACGACATCTTCGAGCGTATCGCGGGCGAGGCGTCGCGCCTGGCGCATTACAACAAGCGCTCGACCATCACATCCAGGGAGATCCAGACGGCCGTGCGCCTGCTGCTGCCCGGGGAGCTGGCCAAACACGCGGTGTCCGAGGGCACCAAGGCCGTCACCAAGTACACCAGCTCCAAGTGAGCCACTGGCTGCTTGGTCAGGCTCCAACACTTAAAAGGCTCTTTTCAGAGCCATCCACGGTTTCCAAAGAGAACTGGCACTTAGTTTATCTAACTTTGCTGCTGCTGCTGCTGCTAAGTCGCGTCAGTCGTGTCCGACTCTGCGACCCCATAGACAGAAGCCCACCAGGCTTCTCCGTCCCTGGGATTCAACAGGCAAGAACACCGGAGTGGGTTGCCATTTCCTTTTCCAGTGCGTGAAAGGGAAATCGCTCAGTTGTGTCCGACTCTTAGCGACCCCATGGACTGCAGCCTACCAGGCTCCTCCGTCTATGGGATTTTCCAGGCAAGAGTACTGGAGTGGGGTGCCATTGCCTTCTACCTTTAGAAGTAGATAAAAGCAGTATTGGGTTTCCCCAGTGGCTCAGCAGCAGAGAATCTACCTGCAATGCAGGAGCCGCAGGGATCGATCCCTTGGTCGGAAGGATCCCCTGGAGAAGGGCATGGCACTCCACTCCAGTATTGTTGCTTGGAGAATGCTATGGACAGAGGAGCCTGGCGGCCTACAATCCATGGGGGTCGCAAAGAGTTGGACACGACTTATTGACTGAGCACGCATAGAAGTAGGTATGTCCTACCTTTAGATTTTTCATGTAGTTTGATGATGCTGCATGTTCTTAAGTTTAAATGTTTCACCTCTTTTGGTAATGGCACTTCTGTTCACTTTTCTACATGGTCAGATTCTATAAGGGAAAAATCTAGAACATATCAGTTTCTTTCTGAGTCAGCTCCACAGTTCATTTCACTCATTTCTTTACCTTTTCTCCCCCTTGTAATAAGGGAGAAATCCTAAATGAAAAGGCAATCTTTGAGACCTGAAGGAGAGTAGTAGGATGGCATTTTCTCTCCCAGTTCAGTTCAGTTGCTCAGTCTTGTCCGACTCTGTGACCCCATGAACCACAGCACGCCAGACCTTCCTGTCCATCACCAACTGCCAGAGTCTAACCAAACCCATATCCATTGAGTTGGTGATGCCATCCAACCATCTCATCCTCTGTAGTCCCCTTCTCCTCCTGCCCTCAATCTTTCCCACCATCAGGATCTTTTTAAATGAGTCAGCTCTTCGCATTAGGTGGCCAAAGTACTGGAGTTTCAGCTTCAGCATCAGTCCTTCCAGTGACCACCCAGGACTGATCTGCTTTAGGATGGACTGGTTGGATCTCCTTCCAGTCCAAGGGACTCTCACAGTCTTCTCCAACACCACAGTTGAAAAGCGTCAATCCTTCGGCACTCAGCTTTCTTTATAGTCCAACTCTCACATCCATGCGTGACTACTGGAAAAACCATAGCCTTGACTAGACGGACCTTTGAGGACAGAGTAATGTCTCAGCTTTTTAATATGCTGTCTAGGTTGGTCGTATCTTTCCTTCCAAGCAGTAAACATCTTTCAGTCTCATGGTTGCAATCACCATCTGCGGTGATTTTGGAGCCCCCCAAAATAAAGTCAGCCACTGTTTCCAGTGTTTCTCCCAGAGGATGGTTCAGTCTCCCAGTGGTGGTCCTTTAGTCGCTAAGTTGTTTCCCATTCGCTGTTATTTCCCACTCTTTTGTGACCAAATGAACTGTAAGCCGCCAGGATTCTCTGTCCATAGGATTTTCCAGGCAAGAACATGAGTGGGTTGCTATTTCCTTCTTAGGGGGATCTTCCCCCTTAGGGATTGGACCAGCATTTTGTGCAACACAGGCCAATTCCACTTAGCCTCCAGGGAAGCCCATATATGTTATTCAACTTCAGTTATATGCTATTTACTGCCTACTAGTTTGGCTTCCCAGGTAGTGCAGTGATAAGAATTCAGACTCGAGGCTGGATCCCGGGGTCGGGAAGATCTCCTGGAGGAAATGGCAACTCACTCCATTATTCTTGCCTGGAAAATTGCATGGATAGAGGAACCAGGCAGCCTGCAGTTCACGGGGTTGCAAAGAGTCAGCTGTGATTGAACAAGAGCATGCACTCTGAGCCTGAAAATTGTTCTTTGTTATTACATTGAAAGATCAGGGAAGTGAGCAAGGATTAATATGTATTAGGCCTTGAAGACCTACCAGCACCAAATTAACACTTCCCATTACTTAATCAGAAAGACTTAAAGAGAGTAGAAAACACAATGTTCACTCTCTGTTTCAACATTTTAAATACCAGAATCCACATACTACTTAGCAATAAATTTCCATGCTCCCAATGGTATTTAGTACAGCTGTGAAAAAAAATACTAGTTAACTAATGTACTATTTAACTGTATGACCCAGAGAAGATCACTCTGTGGTGAAATATTTATTATACTTTTTATTTCTCCAATTAAATAATTAGTTATTTTGTTGAAAGAGAAAAAATCTATGTAATGTCTTTTGCATAGTAACATTTGCAGACCTCATCCAGCTTCCAAGAACACACTTGGAAGCAGTGTATATCATCTCATAAGGTCCTAAGAAAACTGGGGCTGCATTATTATCTCCATTTTACAGGAGAATCACGATGTTAGGCTGTACTCTGTAGTCCTGCAATCCCCCAACCTTGAGACCAAAGAAAATGTCTGGAGACAGCAACAGAGACATCAATAGTTTATTGGCTAGGGTATCTTACAGGTCTGAAGCAGAGTTCTAGAATGACTCCCCACTGTGTACCAACAGCAGACAGGACAAGGCAGCAGTCTTCATGGGGGTAGGGTGGCAAGGTGTACCTGTTACAGTGGGAATGGATGTCATGTGGGCTCTCAACTACCAGGAAAACCAACAGATGACCTCCTTCACAATTCCTTTGGTTAACAACCATTGAGGGTTCTCTCTATTAACCCAGTATGCTAGAGGTGTTCTGTTCTAAGAATATAACAATTACTGGTTGAAACAGGGGGCAGGCACTTAAGAAGTTTAATCTCTATGATTAAGAAAAAAGGTCAGTCCTATCCTATGAGTGGGATAATGTAAAGCAGGGGCTTTTCAAGCAGGGAATGTACAGAGAGCAAGAGAACAGCCATTTTGTGTGGCTTGATCATACATATAGGTTCACTACAGTAAAATCCAACATACCCAGCTAGCAAGTATTGGCATAACTTCAGTCTCAAATGGTTTTCCGGAGCCTATGCTAGTTCTGCCTGGGGTTTCTACTTCTACCTGTTTAGGTTGCTTTCAGGTATACTCTTATTAGTTCAGCATATCAGAATGACCTACTTTGGTTCTCTATTCAGTTTTCCCATCTTAAGTATTTTATTCTCATATATTTCATTTGCTTTATCTCCTTATACATCTGTAAGTTTTTTTTTATTTCATTTGCTCTAATATTTTGTCATTTAGGGGATTGCTGAATGTCAGAGTTTATGTTATGGCTCTTTACTCAACGATCTGCCTTCAAGGAGTAAATTATATGGCATTTACATCTTGCTTTTGGCATATGGGGGAAAAAGTCACGTTAGTTATTGGCTGCCATGTGTCAAGTGCATATTATCTTTAGATACTGTGCATTAACTTTTCAACATAAGGAGGTAAGTGCTAATAGTATCTTTGGTCTACAGGTAAAGAGACAGAGGATAGGGATTGTAACATTATATTTGTGTTACTGGCTGATATGTTACTGTTACCGGCAGATTTCCTGGGGACTTAGACATTAAAGTGTCTGCCTACAATGCGGAAGACCCGGGTTCAATCCCTGGGTAGGGAAGATCCCCTGGAGAAGGAAATTGCAACCCACTCCAGTATGCTTGCCTGGAAAATCCCCTGGACGGAGGAGCCTGGTAAGCTGCAGTCCAAGGGGTCGCAGAATCGGACAGGACTGAGCAACTTCACTTTCACCACTGGCATTAACAAGGTACTCCTGTCTGGGTGTCTGGGTGGATAAAAAAACAGAAAATTGTTTTTTCACTCTTCTTGAATCTAGAAGTCTGAGATCAAAGTGCCAAAAGGGTTACTTCCTTCTGAGAGCCATGAGGGAAGGATAGGTTCTAGGCCCTCTCCTTAGCACAGATGGCCATGTTTTCCCCCTCTGTCTTCACATATGTTCCCTCTGTGTCTGTGTCCAAATTTCCTCTTTTAAGAGAACACTGGTCATATTGGATCAGGACCCAATCACTCTCCAATGACCTCATTTTAATTTAATTACCTAATTAAAGACTCTATCCCTAAATATGGTTACATTATGATAGGGGGAAAGATAAGATTTTTCCCCATTAAAACTGCCTTCCTTTAAGTAGAACAGCCCATAGAAATCAGGACCTTATGACTTCCTTCCCTGGACTAGGCCTAGTTTTGGTCCTTTAGAATGAGAACAAAAGAAGCTAAGAATAAGGATGGGTTAATGTTTAAATAATTATGTAGATACATAGCATCCATTGCAAATAATTAAACAGCATTCAGGTCTCATCCACAGTGAAAGTTTAAGCCTTTCACTTGGAGAAATCTGAATTGCTGACCCTCTGGGAAAATGAATATAAAGGGTCTTCCCAGCTGGGCTGCTGCTTCAGGGAGGGACCTCTTGTCAATTTCATTACCGCTACCGCTTTCAAGACAGAAGTGATGGTCAGATAAGAGATACAAGTATAATTCCATGTCTTTCACAGCAGTTTCAGTGGGCAGGTTTCTCTGCTCCTTGGTAGCATGATGTAACAGCAAATTGGCACACATTTCCAACAGATGAAATACAGTCTGTGTGCAAGCACTATGTGAATTTAAGTTGTAATTTTCAAACACTGTCTTTTGGAAAAGTTAGAAACAGGTTTCAGGTTTTTTTATTTTTTATTTCAGTTTTATAATCAACAGGCAGACTTTGCTATACATGCTGTTTCCCACAGGAAAGGCAAAAGTTATTAACTATATGATGATAGGAGTAGGGCTACAGGACCCTCTAAAGAGAGCTGGACCAGTGTTTGCCAAAAAAAAAATAATAAGCTGTCCTTTTTTTTCTTTTCTGTTCTTGGGAACAAGAAGGACAAACTTTTTTTTCTCCCAAATAAAGAATGGCAACTTTTTCACTATTAAAACAAATACAAATGGTGGCCCATCTCCATTTGTTTATTTGTTTTGAGAGAATTTAATGATAACAAAAGACCACAAAATACATCACTTTTACAGTGATGGCCACTACCATGAGGCTTAAAAACTGACTGTCATTGATCCTCTAGCTATTTAGACAAAATATTCCCCTTCTCTGTGCATTAGTTTGTTCATCTAGAAAACAGATATGGAATGAGAGTGGCCTTAAAGGACTACTGCAAGCTTTCACCTTCCTACATAGGATGGACTGAAGGCTGAAACAGAGCAGCAGTACATGATACAGATAAATGGCATCTATTCTTCTATATTTCTTACCTCCACCAAATTACAACTGAAAAACTATTCAAAGTCATGGTTTGTGACTTTTAGAAGTCTATGTTCCACGGTGTGGCCACTGCCAAAATTTAACACTAGGTTTGAAGGAAGCAACAGCTACAGTCTCACGTAGCCTATGGAGATAAGCATTCCACCTTAAGAAGTCAGGATAGTGTTCAGGGATTTTCCTCCACCAAGATTTTGGATCCAATGAAAATGTATCGGAGGACTGTCAGGATGACAGAAGTGAAGAATCCAGTGGACGTTGTTCTGAGTACTCTGATGAGTTTAATTGCACTGATGGCTTCAGCAGGATCGTGAAGTGATGGATGTGGTTCTGGAAAACAAGGCATAAGTCAAAGTTTTGGGGAAAAAAATGTGATCACAGAGGTGATAGCTTTGATAAAAATGTCCTTGATAGTGAGGTGAAGGTGTCTGAATGTTAAGCTCTTCAGTGTGAACTCTGCAAAAATACAGAGCCAGATGAAATGCCTAACGTTCAAGAAATTTGACTCAAATACAGCATGCACTTTTTTGAGATGTATCCAATTTCCATGACTGAAGTGATGGAGCACGCATGCACAGTGTTGGGGATGGCTAAGGTAGAAGCTGATACACAGGATAATTTAAGACTGCCTTGGGAATTAGAGCTTGGATGGATTTCCAAGAATGGAAATCATTAAAATGCAATTTGCTCTCCTGAAATGAAATTTTAGTGAACAAAGCATCAGTGAGATTCTCAGGAAGATCTTTTTTGAGACATGACCCTATAGCATCACAGAGGTTAAGTTTTCCCTAATATAAGTACAATAAAACCTTAAGAATGCAAAGCCAGGCACCTTCTGGGGAAGAAGACACTCAACTCCATGACATAGGGCACAAATATTTGGGACAAGATGACACACCATGTAAATTTCTTATTCAGTTCATTACATAGTATTTGTTCCAATAGCTTATTATCATGGATTCATGGCTTTTTATATGCCAAACTATTCCAGTGGTTGCCTATTAATTGTTCCGTTTAAATCTCAAGTTAGCATTACTTTCAGGTTTTCTTGCCTCTCTCGTCTTAACTCTATTGTTCCTCCAGACATGGGAGACTATCTTTGTGTTGAGTCAGCATACATATTTTACACCCATCAGGATTTCCTTTGTCTCAAAACTTGTAATTAGTTCCTCTTCAAGGACTTTAGATTCCTGAATAGAGGTGGAAATCTCCAGACCAAGATTTATGTTAGACTGCTTTGTGTGATGCCTGGCTGCCTTAGAGAACTTAGAACACTGCAATAACAAACTTTAAAAAACTTAAAAAAATGTATTTTCAAAGGCTAAGGGCCTGTTACTCTTTTCACTGAGAGTTCTTAATATTTTCCCAAAATAAAATTTTTTCAAATCAGAGTCTTCTTGAGCCGATAACTTCACTCTTCTCTGCTATTCTTCTCTGCCATTCAACGTCACCTCACATTCTCAAAACACTGTTCCACAAGAACTAACTAGTAAAAGACACTGATATCTTTGACCTATATGTTAGATGTAACTCCAGATTCACATCACATATACATATTCCTAGTATTAAGGTGTAACTTTATAGTGAACATTGTCAATTTATGCATGAACGGGCAAAGAATGCAAAGCCAGGCACCTTCTGGGGAAGAAGACACTCAACTCCATGACATAGGGCACAAAGATTTGGGACAAGATGACACACCATGTAAATTTCTTATTCAGTTCATTATATAGTATTTGTTCCAATAGCTTATTATCATGGATTCATGGCTTTTTATATGCCAAACTATTCCAGTGGTTGCCTATTAATTGTTCCGTTTAAATCTCAAGTTAGCATTACTTTCAGGTTTTCTTGCCTCTCTCGTCTTAACTCTATTTTTCCTCCAGACATGGGAGACTATCTTTGTGTTGAGTCAGCATACATATTTTACACCCATCAGGATTTCCTTTGTCTCAAAACTTGTAATTAGTTCCTCTTCAAGGACTTTAGATTCCTGAATAGAGGTGGAAATCTCCAGACCAAGATTTATGTTAGACTGCTTTGTGTGATGCCTGGCTGCCTTAGAGAACTTAGAACACTGCAATAACAAACTTTAAAAAAGTTAAAAAAATGTATTTTCAAAGGCTAAGGGCCTGTTACTCTTTTCACTGAGAGTTCTTAATATTTTCCCAAAATAAAATTTTTTCAAATCAGAGTCTTCTTGAGCCGATAACTTCACTCTTCTCTGCTATTCTTCTCTGCCATTCAACGTCACCTCACATTCTCAAAACACTGTTCCACAAGAACTAACTAGTAAAAGACACTGATATCTTTGACCTATATGTTAGATGTAACTCCAGATTCACATCACATATACATATTCCTAGTATTAAGGTGTAACTTTATAGTGAACATTGTCAATTTATGCATGAACGGGCGATGCCTATACTCTCAAATTTATATTCTGCATTATTTTCACAATTAAAGCAGACAGGATATAAAGTCATTTTTAAAGAATTAAAACATATTTAAAAAAAAGATCTTTAATTAATGTATATTTTTCTTCATTCTAAGCACATGAGGAAATCCTCTGGGAAATATTTTGTCTGTTTTAATATAACCTACATTAAAATTATTCTTTTTAGTATGCCTAATATAAAGTCAGAAAGTTGAAATTATAAATCACCTAGTGTTAAAAAAATAGTTTCCAAAGATGTAGGCTATACCTATTAATTCTGAATGTGAGGTCTTAAGCAAAGATTGAGTAGTTTTCCACATAGTAAGACTTCAAACTTTTCATGGCTACTCATTTATGTCTTGGCATATGGCAAATTAAATGTTAGGTCACCTATACATTTTCATACGCAATATGAACAAATGTTAATTTTTGTATCAAGTGGTCACTTGATAGAATAACATACTTTTGGGGGGGGAAGCATTGCCACCTTGATTCCAGGTAAAGACCAAAATAATTTTAAACATGCCATTCCTAAGGGCCTAAAATGAAGAGATGGAATTTTATCTTCCTGAATTGACTATAGGGGAACAGTCCTTCTCTATTTTAAAAAAATGTATCCCAATTAATACAGCAAAAGTAAATCCCAGAGACATGCTGGAAAAAAAGAAAGAAACCAGGGTTTGGAGAAAATGGCAGAGTTCTTCCCATAAAGCCGCTTGGCCCAGAACTCTCCGTTAGGATGGAGTCACAGGCGACACCGTTAGTAAATTTCAAACTGCGCGCGCAGCGTCTGGATTGGCTATCGACAAAACGTGGCACCCGCGTTAACTTAAATTAGATTCTCATTTCCGTTTGTTTTGCTTCTGCCCTTTTAACTTAATACTTGGCACATTTAAACTCAGGGAAAGGGGGAAAAAAGCCAGCAGCGCTCCCCAAAGAAAACACAAGTGAATAATACGATTTGTAACTTTCTTACTGTGTTCCAAGGAACTCATTACTCAGGCACACAGACCTTAAAATTAAGGATGCAGAGGACAAGCCATGGTCAACGAAACCTTTTGCCAACTTCAAACGTAAAGGAGAGCTGATTTTACTTTGGGACAAACGGTATTTTGCTTTCTTTACTACATTTGTCTGATAATGAACCTGACTCTTCTCGACATAAACACAAAAACGTCTCCAGCGTTGCTGCAGCACCACCTACATTACAGAGGAAGCAATTTCTAACAAGATCAAAGGAAATGTGACAGAAAGAATACCTAGTGAAGACAGAAAAGATGGCCACCTGGAAGCCAAAGAGAAGCCTATGAAGAAACCACCCCTGTTAACAGCAGTCTTGGGCCTCTGGCTTCCAGAACTGTGACAAATAAATTTCTCTTGTTTAAGGGAAAACAAAAAACTAGAACTTATTACTTTGCAGCATATTAAGAAACACCTACTGTATAAAGTGAGTGCCAGTTCTCTTTAGAAGATTGAGTGGCTCTGAAAAGAGCCTTTGGGGCCAAGGCTTACCGATCACTCCGTGGCGGGCCGGCTCACTTGGAGCTGGTGTACTTGGTGACGGCCTTGGTGCCCTCGGACACCGCGTGTTTGGCCAGCTCCCCGGGCAGCAGCAGGCGCACGGCCGTCTGGATCTCCCTGGATGTGATGGTCGAGCGCTTGTTGTAATGCGCCAGGCGCGACGCCTCGCCCGCGATACGCTCGAATATGTCGTTCACGAATGAATTCATGATGCCCATAGCCTTGGACGAGATGCCGGTGTCCGGGTGGACCTGCTTCAGCACCTTGTACACGTACACGGAGTAGCTCTCCTTGCGGCTGCGCTTGCGCTTCTTACCGTCCTTCTTCTGCGCCTTGGTCACCGCCTTCTTGGAGCCCTTCTTCGGGGCCGGAGCGGATTTAGAGGGTNGCGCTTCTTGCCGTCCTTCTTCTGCGCCTTGGTCACCGCCTTCTTGGAGCCCTTCTTCGGGGCCGGAGCGGATTTAGAGGGTTCAGGCATGGCCGGAAGTTTACTGCCAAACAGCCCAAAAACCACAGAAGGAAGAAGCTGTAAGAACCCGCTTCCTTCACAGCTTCTTAAAGGAGGAAGTGAGTAATGCCAGGCGTCTGATTGGTGGTGAATGCTGGAAGCGTCACATAATAGTTTTGTCCAATTAAAATAAGCGTATTTCAAACTCATGGTTTCATTGGGTTAGGTGAAACTGCAGCTTTAGCCAATGGTCCACCGTCATTTTCGCGCCCATTAAAGACTATAAGTAGGCTAGGTCTGGTTTTCTGCACTCATATTCCACATTTGTGAGATTATACCTTCGTCATGTCTGGTCGTGGCAAGCAAGGAGGCAAGGCTCGTGCAAAGGCCAAGACCCGCTCTTCGCGGGCCGGGCTCCAGTTCCCCGTGGGCCGAGTGCACCGGCTGCTCCGCAAAGGGAACTACTCCGAGCGGGTCGGGGCCGGGGCCCCGGTGTACCTGGCGGCGGTGCTGGAGTACCTGACAGCCGAGATCCTGGAGCTGGCGGGCAACGCGGCCCGGGACAACAAGAAGACCCGCATCATCCCGCGCCACCTGCAGCTGGCCATCCGCAACGACGAGGAGCTCAACAAGCTGCTGGGCAAAGTCACCATCGCTCAGGGCGGCGTCCTGCCCAACATCCAGGCCGTGCTGCTCCCTAAGAAGACCGAGAGCCACCACAAGGCCAAGGGCAAGTAGAAGCCTGGCATCGTTTAGAACTCAAACCTGTCCAAACCAAAAGGCTCTTTTCAGAGCCACCCACTTTATCAGGAAAGACCTGTACTTTCAAAATCCCATTGTTTCGGATAGCAAGGTGTTGCTAAGCAATCCTGTAACAAAGTTCGCTAAGTCACTTGAAATTGTCTTCTAAAAAGTCAAACGTTTGCTTTCAAGTTTTAGGTTAAACCTATGAGGGCAAAATTAACGTCTTTCTGTGATTCCTTTACAGGGTAAAATGGCTATCTGTGACAAAACCTTAGACCACATGACGGGCCTAGCTCCCCTCCTAGTTAAATTGAACCTTAGGGCGCACCACTCACCTTCCTAAATGAGAATAGAATAGTAACTCAGCAAGGTAAATTACTTGTTTCAAGTAGCTTCAGACAAAGAATACACCTTATAGTGGGCTGTTTACATCAATGCTAGTGAAGTAAAAGACGTGAATTATTCACCCATTAGGAAGAGGATGTGCCTTAACAGATAGACAAGGTAGACATTGGAAATCACATTTATAAGATAAATCAGCAAACCAGGTTCTTAGAATCCTAATGCTGTCAAGGATTTTTGTTCACTATCATCACTCACCCTGCTCTCAGATCAAGTCATACTAACTAAAGTGAAGTCGCTCAGTCGTGTCCAACTCTTTGCGACCCCATTAACTGTAGCCTACCAGGGTCTTCTGTCCTTGGGATTTTCCAGGCAAGAATGCTGGAGTGGGTTGCCATTTCCTTCTCCAGGAGATCTTCCCAACCCAGGGATCAAACCAGGGTCTCCAGCATTTCAGGGGGATTCTTCTCGAACTGAGCTATCAGGGAAACCAAAAATCTGACACTTGTAGTTTGTTTCCTCCTGTCTCTTAGTCAGTCAATTCATTTGCTCAGTTTCCGACTCAGTTGTGTCTCTTTGAGATCCTGACCCCATGAACTGCAGCACACCAGGATTGCTTCCCTGTTCTTCACTATCTCCTTGAGTTTGCTCAAACTCATGTCCATTGAGTCAGTGATGCCATCCAATCCAACCATCTCATCCTCTGTTGTCGCCCCCTTTTCCTCCTGCTCTCAGTCTTTCCCAGCATCAGAGTCTTTTTCAATAAGTCACTTCACATCATGTGGCCAAAGTGTTGGAGTTTCAACTTCAGCAGCAGTCCTTCCAATGAATATTCAGGGTTGATGAATATTAATTACATGGTGGAATAATGAGGAGATTGAGAGATTTGGGGGACCAGTAATTTGGTCTTCCCTGGTGGCTCAGAGTTAAAGAATGAGCTTGCCAATGTAGGAGATATAGGTTTGATCCCTGGGTCAGAAAGATCCCCTATGGAAGGAATGGCAACGAACTCCAGTATTCTTGTTTGGGAAATCTCAGAGACAGAGAAGCCTTGCTGGCTATAATCCATGGAGTCACAATAATGTTCGGCACAAATGAGCGACTAAATAGCAACAATTTGGAAGAAGGCAGGGACTCTGGACAGGGGCCAGCATTAAGGACAAAGAATTATGGAGCCCTCAATGATACAAATTTCTGAGGTTCTCAAAAAATGTCTTTCCCCAAGGTTATTTTTGTGGTTTTTAAAAACTTCTCCACTCCCAGACCTTTATCTATGCTATTTTAATCATTTAAATGAAAATATTAGTTTCACTCATTCTGTGACTAAGAGCTTCCCATAATAAGAAACAGATTTACAAGAGGAAAACGAGTTTAATACCATGTATGTCTGATGTATACATAGAATACACAGAGGGGAACTGAGTAAAACTCCCAGAAGTAGGCTGGGAGCCTTTAAATATCATCTTCAGCTAAAGACAAAATATGTTGGAGATAGTGGCATTTATAGGAATTGAGCAGGAAACCCAGAGTAAAACAGGTGTGACAGATTTAAGTCTTTCACCTTCCTCAGGTAAGTTTCTTGTGAGTTATTATTATCTTTCTCTTCCTGGCTCAAAGAAGGAGATACCCTTACAAATGGAGATTTCTCACATAAATGTAAATTTCCCTTAGTGTATGTGTCAGCTGCTCAGTTGTGTCCGACTCTTAGTGATCCCATGGACTCTAGCCTGCCAGGTTCCCCTGTTCATGGTATTCTCCAGGCTAGAATACTGGAGTGGGTAGCCATTCCCTTTTTCAGGGGATCTTCTTGACCCATGGATCCAACTCGGGTCTCCTGCATTGCAAAGATTCTTTACCACCTGAGCGACCAGGGAAGGCCTTGGTATTAAATTGTTTTCATAGCTTCTCCTATGTCTGCTTTTTCTCAAAACTATCAGCTCATTATAATTCTTAGGCTTAAGAAGGATATTTGGGAGTGATATATTCTGGTACACTTGGTTAGAAACATCAGTATAGTATACCCAAGTACAGTGAAGAAGTAAATTTTTATGGAAAAAAATATTTTTCAGAAACACTAATTACTAGGGAGTTTGTTAAAACTATTAAAGACTTCATAAGGTTAACATAAGGTTAACAAGCAGGCGTTAAAAATACATTTTCTCTTTAAATAAGGGAAATTGATGAAAATGTAATCAGTGCAAGGAGGTTCCAAAATGCCATTTATGGCATTGCATACATTTTCTTTGAAAGAGTATGTGCTTTTATCTGTTCACCAAAATACCAAATTAGCTACTAGCAGTGATCTGTGAATTATTACTTTATCACCTGCCTTTTCTGTATATTTTACACAACATTCGTGTTTTGCGCTGGCATTCAAAAGCAACTGCTAAAGTTTTAAAACAAGGTAACAAGAGTCACGACAGAACAAAGGAACAGAGGCCTCTTTTTTTTTTTTGGTCCAATTCCCCTCCCCCACTTAAGGCGTGACTTCCCGCCTCCTTCCTTCTAGTTCTCACTTCGGTCCGCCAACAGACGTATATAGGTGCATCGCGAAGCAGGCAAGCTAGACTTTTTGGAGTCTCTGGTCTTCCGACATGTCTGGTCGTGGTAAAGGCGGAAAGGGTCTGGGCAAGGGAGGCGCCAAGCGCCACCGCAAAGTCCTTCGTGATAACATCCAGGGCATCACTAAGCCTGCCATTCGGCGCCTGGCTCGTCGCGGTGGTGTGAAGCGCATCTCTGGTCTCATCTACGAGGAGACCCGCGGTATCCATGGAGTCACAATAATGTTCGGCACAATTGAGCGACTAAATAGCAACAATTTGGAAGAAGGCAGGGACTCTGGACAGGGGCCAGCATTAAGGACAAAGAATTATGGAGCCCTCAATGATACAAATTTCTGAGGTTCTCAAAAATTGTCTTTCCCCAAGGTTATTTTTGTGGTTTTTAAAAACTTCTCCACTCCCAGACCTTTATCTATGCTATTTTAATCATTTAAATGAAAATATTAGTTTCACTCATTCTGTGACTAAGAGCTTCCCATAATAAGAAACAGATTTACAAGAGGAAAACGAGTTTAATACCATGTATGTCTGATGTATACATAGAATACACAGAGGGGAACTGAGTAAAACTCCCAGAAGTAGGCTGGGAGCCTTTAAATATCATCTTCAGCTAAAGACAAAATATGTTGGAGATAGTGGCATTTATAGGAATTGAGCAGGAAACCCAGAGTAAAACAGGTGTGACAGATTTAAGTCTTTCACCTTCCTCAGGTAAGTTTCTTGTGAGTTATTATTATCTTTCTCTTCCTGGCTCAAAGAAGGAGATACCCTTACAAATGGAGATTTCTCACATAAATGTAAATTTCCCTTAGTGTATGTGTCAGCTGCTCAGTTGTGTCCGACTCTTAGTGATCCCATGGACTCTAGCCTGCCAGGTTCCCCTGTTCATGGTATTCTCCAGGCTAGAATACTGGAGTGGGTAGCCATTCCCTTTTTCAGGGGATCTTCTTGACCCATGGATCCAACTCGGGTCTCCTGCATTGCAAAGATTCTTTACCACCTGAGCGACCAGGGAAGGCCTTGGTATTAAATTGTTTTTATAGCTTCTCCTATGTCTGCTTTTTCTCAAAACTATCAGCTCATTATAATTCTTAGGCTTAAGAAGGATATTTGGGAGTGATATATTCTGGTACACTTGGTTAGAAACATCAGTATAGTATACCCAAGTACAGTGAAGAAGTAAATTTTTATGGAAAAAAATATTTTTCAGAAACACTAATTACTAGGGAGTTTGTTAAAACTATTAAAGACTTCATAAGGTTAACATAAGGTTAACAAGCAGGCGTTAAAAATACATTTTCTCTTTAAATAAGGGAAATTGATGAAAATGTAATCAGTGCAAGGAGGTTCCAAAATGCCATTTATGGCATTGCATACATTTTCTTTGAAAGAGTATGTGCTTTTATCTGTTCACCAAAATACCAAATTAGCTACTAGCAGTGATCTGTGAATTATTACTTTATCACCTGCCTTTTCTGTATATTTTACACAACATTCGTGTTTTGCGCTGGCATTCAAAAGCAACTGCTAAAGTTTTAAAACAAGGTAACAAGAGTCACGACAGAACAAAGGAACAGAGGCCTCTTTTTTTTTTTTGGTCCAATTCCCCTCCCCCACTTAAGGCGTGACTTCCCGCCTCCTTCCTTCTAGTTCTCACTTCGGTCCGCCAACAGACGTATATAGGTGCATCGCGAAGCAGGCAAGCTAGGCTTTTTGGAGTCTCTGGTCTTCCGACATGTCTGGTCGTGGTAAAGGCGGAAAGGGTCTGGGCAAGGGAGGCGCCAAGCGCCACCGCAAAGTCCTTCGTGATAACATCCAGGGCATCACTAAGCCTGCCATTCGGCGCCTGGCTCGTCGCGGTGGTGTGAAGCGCATCTCTGGTCTCATCTACGAGGAGACCCGCGGTGTGCTGAAGGTGTTTCTGGAGAACGTGATCCGCGACGCGGTCACCTACACCGAACACGCCAAGCGCAAGACTGTCACCGCCATGGACGTGGTCTACGCGCTCAAGCGCCAGGGCCGTACCCTCTATGGCTTCGGCGGCTGAGAGTCTGCGTTCTTCCGTGTTCAACAAAAGGTCCTTTTAAGGGCCCCCACTCTTTCACTTGAGGAGCCGTGATGCCTTTTTGCTTTTGAGTTTTTTCCTCCTGTTAGGTACACACTTTAAACTGCTTAGGAGCACTACTTCCACCCTTACATTTTTGCGCTTCCAGGCAATGTCTTCAACATAGTTTTGCATTTTACTTTGTAACCTACCCAGTGGAATGTTTAAAAACCTAGACGTTGATAAATGGAAGCAAATACATCACCCAAACACATATGGCTTAAGATTTAGCCACAGTGGCATTTCTCTTAAATGGATTACAAGCCAATGTGTACCAAGGGAGAGAGAAAGGCACTTTCTTACCGAGTTTAAACGGGAAGTACACGGTTTTACAGTGATAGCTCCATGTATCCTCATGAAATAAACTGTTAAATAGGTGTAAACACGAGTGTGAAAGAATGAAAATTACAGGCTCACTGTAATATCCTGCAGAACAGTTGGTGAGGGTGGGATGCAATTAAAAAGCATTTCAACAAAAACAGTCATATTACAGAAATATTCTCTACAATGAAAAAATACAAAGCAGCTTTATAAACCAGAACAACGAATTTAAAATTAATTTTAAAAGATCCTTGGTACAGAATTGGAAAGGAATAAGGAATATGATTGGGATTGGAATTGGAATAAATTGGAAAGGAATAAGATTAGGAAATCCAGACCTAAACTCTGAAGGTGGTCTTAGCATTTTCTAGAATCTTAGAAGCTTAGGAAGAAACCCAAAGTCAAGGGGGAAACCTTGACTCAAGTAGACACACAGACTAAAGAGCAATTGCCTCAGTTCAGTTCAGTCGCTCAGTTGTGTCCGACTATTTGCAACCCCACAGACTTCAGTACACCAGGCCTCATCACCAACTCCCAGAGCCTACTCAAATTCATGTCCACTGTTCGGTGATGCCATCCAACCGTCTCATACTGTGTCCCCTTCTCCTCCTGCCCTCAATCTTTCCCAGCATCAGGGTCTTTTCCATTGAGTGGTTCTTCGCATCAGGTGGCCAAAGTATGGGAGTTTCAGCTTCAGCATCAGACCTTCCAAAGAATATTCAGGACAGATTTCCTTTAGGATGGATTGGTTGGATCTCCTTGCAGTGTAAGGGACTCTCAAGTCTTNCAGATTTCTCAGAGGGCAGGTCAGGTGGTCTGGCACTCCCATCTCTTGAAGAATTTTCCACAGTTTGTTATGATCCACACAGTCAAAGGCTTTGGCATAGTCAATAAAACAAAAGATGTTTTTCTGCAACTCTCTTGCTTTTTCAATGATCCAGTGGATGTTGGCAATTTGATCTCTGGTTCCTCTGCCTTTTCTAAACCAGCTTGAACATCTGGAAGCTCATGATTCACATCCTGTTGAAGCCTGGCTTGGAGAATTTTTAGCATTACCTTGCTAGCCTGAGAGATGAGTGCAATTGTGCAGTAGTTTGAACATTCTTTGGTATTGCCTTTCTTAGGGACTGGAATGAAAACAGACCTTTTCCAGTCCTGTGGCCACTGCTGAGTTTTCCATGTTTGCTGGCATTCTGAGTGCAGCACTTTCATGGCATTCTCTTTCAGGATTTGAAATAGCTCAACTGGAATTCCATCACCTCCACTAACTTTGTTCATAGTGAAGCTTCCTCAGGCCCACTTGACTTCGCATTCCAGGGTGTCTGGCTCTAGGTGAGTGATCACACCTTCGTGTTTATCTGGGTCGTGAAGACCTTTTTTGTATAGTTCTTCTGTGTATTCTTGCTACCTCTTCTTAATATCTTCTTCTTCAGTTAGGTCCATACCATTTCTGTCCTTTATTGTGCTCATCTTTGCATGAAATGTTCTCTTGGTATCTCTCATTTTCTTGAAGAGATCTCTAGTCGTTCCCATTCTATTGTTTTCCTCTATTTCTTTGCATTGATCACTAAGGAAGGGTAGCAATTGCCTACATGTAAAAAAAAAAGACAAAATGACTAGGTTTACATATTTTTATATCTGAAGCTAAAAATTCCCTTATCTCATCAATACTTAATCTTCATAAAATCAAATGCTAAATATTCATCTAGCCAGTCTCCCAACTCAGGAATATTTTTTCAACAACCCTAGGCCCATCTCTGAAGCACAATCAAAGATAACAGGATCTGTTTCCCAGAAAGAGAGGGGCCTAACTTCCATTATTACAAGATTACAATTTGCCATGTCTACTAATTTTTGAGATGATTGTATCCATTTCGCTGTATAAAAGAGAGTGATTTCTCTCCTTGCTTTGCAATCCCTTTAGCAAAATTGCCTGTGATGTGCTTCACATTCTGGTTTAATGCTTATTCAGTCATAAAGGTTTTCTATTTTTACTCCCTTTGTGCAGCGGTTTTTCTGAATTGGGAGGTATTACTTTTAGCTATATTCCCATATTTTCTGAGGATCTATTACTATTTTTGTGGCTTTCCATTGACGTCTTGAATAATTCTGACAGAAGTCTCTCAGTTCTTAAAAACAAAAACAAAAACCCCCACAGAAAAAAAATCCTTAAATATTCAGTACATAATTTAATGCTATCTTATATGAAGTGTTTTAGTATTTGTTTTTAGAAATCTATTATTATATTTATAGCCTGATTTCTTTTTGATATTACCTTCTCTAAACCTAGACCCCAAATTTTGAATAATGAAGCCATTGGTATTATCTATTTAACACGTAAGGTTTGTTCTCTTTTACATTTGTAATTAGGCATACACAATTGTGACAATTGTTCTGTTGTATGTATTGTGCAATATTTGAAAAAAGAGGACAAATCAAAACCAGAAACTATACATCCCTAAGTTAACGAGGTAAAATGTTATCGATGTAACATTTATACTTTTTAAGTTGTGTGGACCATACTTGCATGCATATAAAGGACTCACTGCCAACAGATTTTGTTCCTAAGTATAAATACCTTCTCATTGGGAGGCAACAGTAGCAAATACTTACAGCATATATCAAAGGGGAAATGTCTATATCCTCACTATTTACAATATCATACCTATACTGGGGATTCTATCCCACTCCATACTGATAATATTAATTACTATTATACATTGACCAGACTGATGATTGCTGTTTTTCTTTACAGTTACCTCTAAGGCCCCTGCTACAAAATATTGAGCTTCCCTTGTGACTCAGCTGGGAAAGAATCTGCCTGCAATGTGGGAGACCTGGATTTGATCACTGCGTTGGGAAGATCCCCTGGGGAAGGAAAAGGCTACCCACTTCAGTATCCTGGCCTGGAGAATTCCATGGACTATAGTCTGTGGCGTTGCAAAGAGTTGGACACAATTGAGTGACTTTCACTTTCACAAAATATAGGTCTGAAATTGAGCTTTTCAGAAGAAACATCAAAAGAACTTTAACAAATAACTGTACCTGATACTGTCAAGCTCTACTACAGGATTTCTTTAAGATTTTCCAAGCCATATCAGAAGCAGGGTGCTTAATCCAAAATCAACAAAGCAAGAATTAATCACAATGAACTGAATTACACTGGGCTGAATGAACTGATTTGATTATGACTAAAGGTACTTTATTAAAACCTTCTTTAAAAAAAAAACCCAAGGCTTTTTATACTTTTGCTACCTTTTCCCTCAAATTTTAGAAAACTATTTAGGTAACTGAACTTTTGATAAACTGTCAGGAATACTAGCAATGCTTTTGAAAATATAAAATACACATTGCTAGGCAGTGTTACAAAACAATACAGAAGAGTGATTGGGTTTTGTTAAAACTCCTTTTTCATAGGAATGTGATTATTAACACAGGCTTAAAACTAAGCGTGAAAAGTGTTAATCGCTCAGTCGTGTCTGACTCTTTGTGACCGCATAGACAGTAACCTGCCAGGCTCCTCTGTCCATGGGATTTTCAAGGCAAGAATACTGGAGTGGGTAGCCAATCCCTTCTCCAGGGTATCTTCCTGACCCAGGAATTCAACCCGAATCTCCTGCATATCCTCCATAAACAAGAAGGCCTTCATCACTTTTCACAACTGTGTCATATAAACAGACCAACTTGTTGGTCCAGTGGTCAAGAATCCACCTGTGCTCTAGAAATCCAAGAGCCACGACTACTGAGCCCATGTGCAGCAACTACTGAAGGCCACGAGCCCTAGAACACGTGCTCCACAAGGAAGCAGCCCCAGCTCTCTGCAACTAGAGAAAGCCTGCATGCAGTGACAATGACTCAGCCCAGCCAGTAATAAATAAAAATAAATATTTTTTAAAAAGCAGGCCAAGTTGAACAAAAGATACAAATTTAAATATTCTATTATATACCTATCTAAGAGTCTGGTCATGTGTGATCAAATTCTTGATCTTGCCTTCCTAAACATGTTGAAATATGTATTTCTTACACTATTTGCAGAGCTGTAATTCTGCTGCAGAGAAACAAGTGAAACTTAAAAGATGCATTAAGTATTTTACATGATTCATCTGTGGTCCATTTCCTTGAACCCTTAATTTAAGCCTTAAGTTACCCCATGTCTTTCTCCTTGTCTCAGGCTATATGTTTAAATTTACTTTTAAAATATCAGGCATCTCTAGCATTTTAATTTGATTTGAGTCTTTTTATGCCCTGGGAGAACTTGCCTCATAGTTTCGTTGGAGGCTCCCAGGGCATCAAGGTAATTTCCCACAGGTCGGTGGGGGATCAAATATGGAAACAGGGAAAACACTAAAGAAATTAAAGCAAGTAACCTAGGAGAGAAGACAGTCCTTCCACCAAGGTGGGAGCACGGTGGTACTGAGAATTGATGTTTCCATATATATTTTGAAGGCAAAATCAGGAAGATTTCTAGAAGAATTAAATGGCGAAGAATGAAGTCATTATCAATTAAATCAGGGAGTGATTTAATGACAGATGAGGAGGAGGAAATACCAAAGATTCTGTTTTGGGCATGTTAATTTTAGGATGTCAAACATCCATGTGAAGATAGCAATTAGGGGATAGGTGGAATTTCCTGGCAGTCGGGTAGTTAAAATTCAGCACTTTCACTGCTGAGGCCCTGGTCAGGGAACAAAGATACCACAAGTCATTTGGCCAAAAAAAAATAAGAGAAAAGAAAGAAAGTAATTGAGGTTATGTCTGTCTGGAGTTTAGGAGAGAAGCCTGAGTTGGCAATATAAAGTTGGAAGTCATTGAGATACAGATGGTATTTAAAGTCTGAGCTTGGTAAGATCTTCAAGGGAGTGAGTATAGAGCAAGAAGCAGTAAAAACTTAGGCCTGTATCCCCCAACATTAAGGGTCTATGGAGAAGAGATGAACTAACAAAAGATACAGAGTCTCTGATAAAATAGAACCAAGTGAAAAAAAGCATATCAAAGAGAAATTATAGGATCAATTATGTCAGTGTTTCCAATAGATTAAGTAAAATGAAGACTAATTATTGGCCATTGGATGTAACAATAGGAAAATGATTTTGATGATTTTATATTTGTTTACTTTCTGTCTTTTCCCTAGTAGAAAAAAAGTGGGGACTTTTCCCCCTCATACTATCACCAGTGCCAAGTACAATGTCTGAAATCTAGCAGTGATTCAATAATTAACAAATAAATGAATTCGTTAACTAACATTCCTGCTGCTATCGACAGAGAGCTCTTCTTACTGACTGTCCTACAATGTACTGACTAGGGTAGAGTCCTGAGCAAGCAATGGAACTGTGTTAAGCAATACATGCTAGTTCTCAGGGCATTTAATCACAGTATATTTTTTCTATTTGTTAAAGTTTTAAAGACTATGGTTTCTTTTTAAGGGTAGTTTTCTAGTATAGCTGGAAAGAAAAGCCAGGCTGTTTACCTAGGTTTCTGATGCCTCGATTCTATAACCACTGAACCTAGCAGATGTTTATAGCAAGATCTTTCTATGCAACAAACTTTAATCCATTGACCACAAATAAAATAAACCCTTGAATTTGAACTCAATCCTCTCTTGGGAGAAAGGAAAGAACTTGAATTCCTGGACAAGACCTCTCTTTGCAACAAAGAAAGATTGATGCTTTGTCTCTTAATCTCTGTATGAACCTTGGGGCTGAGAGTTCCACAGCCTTTGATTTTATTCTCTTAAAGTTGAAACTGATGAAAAAATGATATTAAAAACCAAAATTTGCCCTTAGATTTGAAAAGGACTGTGGAACCAGGAGAAATGAGAGGTGCTAATGAGTTGTATTTCAGAAGACACAATCCCACAGATTCTGATAACTGGTCTAGGGAAACATCAGTTATTAATATTTAAACAACTTTCTCAACAACTTTCTTAAACAACTTTCTCAACAACTTTCTCAAACAAGTAATTCTTATGTGCCTCCACATAAGAGAGAGATCTCATGTCCACATGATGCCTGAGTTCCTTTTTGGCAGTTAAATTCAAAAAAATGAGATGAGGTTGATAGAAAGGGAGAACATGGAGTAAGAGAAAGACAAAAATTACAGCAAACCTATCAGTTATGCTGTGATCATCCTCAGAAAGCTTAGGAAGGCTCCTCCTCCCCTTTGTATACCACCCAGATTGTGAATACAAATGAACAGGATGATATTGTAGAAATAATCAAAGTGATTCTTATCACTCAATTGTATAAATGGCCCCAACCACCCAGCATGTCAAGATGAAGAGCTTGACGGGGCACGGGACACCGCTGTTCAAGGGTGGGACTGGGAGAGCACGCACCCTGGGGCAGAAACAGGACTGGCTTTTAGGCTAAAGTACTAAGCGTATCTTTGGAACTTGATGAAACTAGAATTACAGCTCCTTACAAGGGAAATTGGGAAGCCCTGAAAAGGGCCTTTTGTTATGTGAATGGAAAAAAAACGAACACTCAGCCGCCGAAGCCGTAGAGGGTGCGGCCCTGGCGCTTGAGCGCGTAGACCACGTCCATGGCGGTGACAGTCTTGCGCTTGGCGTGCTCGGTGTAGGTGACCGCGTCGCGGATCACGTTCTCCAGGAACACTTTCAGCACCCCGCGGGTCTCCTCGTAGATGAGCCCAGAGATTCGCTTCACACCACCGCGACGAGCCAGGCGCCGAATGGCAGGCTTAGTAATGCCCTGGATGTTATCACGAAGGACTTTGCGGTGGCGCTTGGCGCCTCCCTTCCCCAAACCCTTTCCGCCTTTGCCGCGACCAGACATACCGAAAAACTGAAGACCCAATAAAGCCTAGCTTCCAAGGCTCGCGATGCACCTTTATACGTCTGTTAGCGGACCGAACTGAGAACCTGAAGAAAGGAAGAGGCGGGAAGTCACGCCTTAAGTGGGGGAGGGGAA